CATAAAAGACTCCGGAATTTTGAGCCCCTTACTAGATCCAGGTCCTGCTGATTGAGCTAGTCTCCCTTCAGGTTATGAGTCCCTGAAGATGCTGAGCTTGGGGACAGTAAGATGGTACTCCGCACACTGAAGTAGTAGTAATAAGGAACAAAAAGGGGGAAGCAGTGTATGAAATAGCAAATGAAGATAACAACTGTGCTGTAACCAATTGTTGTATAAATAAATAATGAAACTAAACCATAAAAAGAGGCCGGATGGTATTCCTACGGAATTCTATCAAATATTTGAAGAGCAGATATTGGAAGCATTTAAAGATTTATTACAAGATATTCCAAAAGCAAGTAAAATACCATCCTCTTGGAATGAGGCTACAGTAACATTGATTCATAAACCTAATTCTAGCGAATGTGAAATTAAGAATTATAGACCAATATCTCTCCTGAACGCAGACTATAAACTCTTTGCTAAAATTTTGGCAAATAGACTGAAAAGAGTACTTGTTCAAATAATACATAAAGATCAGTCCGGTTTTTTACCAAAAAGGCAGATTAAAATAATATTAGAAACATAATTAATATATTAGAATATTATGAATTACACCCTGGAAAACCAATGACTCTCTAACCCTTTTAGATGCAGAGAAAGCTTTTGATAACATTAACTGGACCTATATGTTACAAAAGTTCTCAATGTGGGAGTGTGGAGATAATTTCCTCACAATGATAAAAGCCATTTATACCAACCAAAGTGCCAAAGTCCTAGTTAACGGAGAACCCACTCAAAAAATTCAAATACAGAAGGGTACTAGACAGGGATGCCCATTATTGCCTTTGTTGTTCATATTTACTTTAGAATCCTTAAATGAAAGGATAAGAAATAATGATAAGATAAAAGGATTTAGAATAAAAGGTGAAATGTTTAAACTACACGTTTTTGCAGACGACCTGATTTTTATAGTGGAAGAACCAGAACAGTCATTAACTTACTTAATAAATGACATTCAGAAATTTGGAAACCTAGCTGGTTTAAGAATTCAAGCATTTTGGGGGAAAATCCATAAGATTTTTTTAGATATATTAAAAATTAATATTCCTCTAACACCAGAAACCTATCTACTCAATATGATACCGGATAAAATAAAATACCTATATAATAGTGTATATACTAACAGCAGCTAGAATACTTGTTGGAAATCCAAAATTATACCTTCAATAAAAGAGCTTAAGTATAAAATACTAGAAGTATCAGAAATGGACAAATTAAGCATAATACTGCAAAATAAGCCAGAGGAATTGTTTTGGAAGAGATGGAAAATAATCTATGATTGGCTCAAGATAAAAAGATGGTCTGGACTCGAAAATATCTAAAACAATGTTATGTTACTTTATTCTATGTAAAAGAAGATATATGAATACTACTTAAAGAATTGTATAATTAGCTAAATGAATATAATGTTGATTGAAAATGAGAATAAATTTATTTTTAAAAATTGTATATTATGTTATTTATATTGAGTGAATTTGCTAAATCTTATTACAATTCTGTTCAGAAAGAATACATGCTAATGCAGTGAACCTAATACATCCATGAAGCAACATTCGTAATCATCTATCCATTCATAATCATCTATCCACTAAAGTCCATTTCCAGATAAACTAAGCCATAAATAAGGCTAATAAACTGAGTAGAAGAAAGGGCTTGATAAGCTGAGTTGAAAGGTGAGTTTGCTGGGAAGCCTAGGTCTGCTCCCGTTTCCATCAGTGTTCATCAGAAAATCTCACCATCAACAGAAAGACAATCTCCTCAGAGGTTCACTGCGTTAGCATGTATTCTTTCTGAACAGAATTGTTGTAACGTATTTGTAATAACTATTGTGCTTATTTGTATTAACGTAAGGTTTATGTTTAGAATATTTATATTTAGTCAATTCACTAATATAAATAATACATAATTTTAATATAATTCAACTGAAGAACTAAATATAATTCAGCTGAAGAAGCCTTTGACAACATAATTCAACTATTTATTTGGTTTATTATTTATTCATACAATGATTGGTTACAGCGCAGTGTTATCTTCCTTACTGAAGTAGGAGTGAAAGGGGGAGTGAGACCTGCAGCTCCCTGATGGTTGATGTGATGTTTACTATCTTGCAGGGGAGAAGGAAAGGTTGGAAGAAGAGGAATGTTCATCCCTCTGTCTATGGCATTGCTTTCTTTCTTCTTTTGCAACTTTGTCCCGCTCAAGTTGCACTTAATGTCCTTTATGCAGACATGATGTTGGGGCAAAGGGCTGGATAACCTCATCAGATCTCAGAAGCTAAGCAGGATCAGCCCTGGTTAGTACTTGGATGGGAGGCAAATTGATGGTGAAAAAAAAATGAACCCCCGTTGAGGATGATGGGGGAAGGAAGAAAATGAGAGCCCCTCCCAGTGGTAGAAAATATTATCTGCTGTCCCCTGGTTGCCTTGGGATTCCCTTCCTGTAGCTAAGGAAGCTGGTGGTGAGCACCTGTCAGCACTAGTACTTGCTGGGCCTTGTGGCTGTGTGTAGTCGATGGGGGTGAAAGACGCCCACTCAGAACAGCTGTATGTTGCTCCATTGATGGGCCAGTCCACCACCAGTACTTTGGAGTGGGAGAGGACAGGATGTCCACTACCCATTAATGCTGGTGCCTCAGCAGGGGACATGAGAGCAGCAGCTGAAGAACAGGTGCCATTGTTGTGGTCAGAAGAACTGTATGCAATTTGGTCACTGGGCCCATCCATCACTGGGACCTGGGAGTGGGAGAGGGCCAGCTGTCCAATCCCCACCCCATCGATGACTCAGCAAGGGAGAGGTGAGCAGCAGCTGAAGAACAGGCACCAATGTTGCCGAGGCTAGTGCTGGGGTCCTGGAGGGAGAACCAGCCAGCTTTCCTCTTGCGGTGGTTCAACTCCGGTTGCTGCCTTGGGCATTGTTCTGTCTGGGATGACTTCATATACTTCTCTCCACTGCTGCTGCTCATGAGCGAGAGGCAGAGGCCAGCGATTTAAGGTATTTCTGCCTATGTTTTTAATAAGCGAGGTAGGAGACCTGTGAAGGCTCATCCATCCATGGAGCAGGCAGAGCATGGACAGGAAGGTGGGGACAGTGGAAGCCTTTGCAAGTTTGCAGTGGTTCAAATGTTTCTAAATGTAGGTGATAATGGATGTGAAATCCTTATTATATTAATTGTTTTAATGACTCTAGGCCACCTTGTTCAGTACATTAATATCCAAATATGCATATATATATATGTATGACCAAATGACTTCAGTAACCTGAATGAAATTGAAGTAGAATTGTTTCAAAACCTAAACTGATTTCACAGTATGAGTAAGAAAACCAAGCCGACGAGCCGTTCCAGAAGGAAGAAGATCGAATAACGTCCCTCCACTGGGTGCTGTTAGGACAGTCCCCACCCCAGTATATATGTGGGCATAGGTAAGGCCGGGATAACGGTTAACTGTAAGCCGCTCAGAGACCCCCTGGGGGGTTCGAGCGGGGTAGCAAGTTGAAATAAATAAATAAATAAATATAAAACACAAATCTGAAACCTTAAAAGTTGACAAACATAGCTCAGATCCAGGAATGTTCCCATATCTCAAGTTTCCTCCATTTAGATATGGAAATGGAATAATTAGAATACATGAATCGAATTCTACTGAGTATTTTTAAATTGACTGGTATAGGTTAGGGTCCAATTACAACTAAATAATCTTGCACTGGGGAGCAAGCTAATGCTGCAGTCCCAAACCTAAGCAAAGGCTTCTTACAGAACGACAAATTCTTATCAGATCTGTAATTCCGTACCTGTTACATTCGCACATGTTCAGCAAAAAAAGCACTGACACAGGTTCCAAAAACAGCATAAACTAGGACACACCCAAGGAGTCTGCAAATCCTGGTCTAAGTTTTACAACAACCTACAATTTTTTTACAAAACAAAAACCTGATAGGACTCCCATTTTAAAAAAACACAACACACCTTCAAGGATTTATAGATTTATTCTTTGATTTTTATTTCAGTTAAAAACAGAATTCTAGCCATTTCCCAACCAAAATACATATCAGACCAAGATTAAAAGTAAAGGACTTGTTTCCTATTAACAGCACATAGCAGCCACTGGCCCACCTTTAATGCTGTAGGATATGGGGGTTAAATATACACTGATGTTGCAGACCACAGATAAGTGCATTTAGAATACTAAACAGCAGGTAAGAAATAAGATGAGCCAAGATTAGGGCAACGTTAATCAGCAAAGACATGGTTTATCCAATGTATTGTTTTAGGCAGTTCCAATTTGCAAACTCTTACATGGGCAAAGCAGACATTTTTGGATGGCACAACACTGTGATCACAGCCAACATTTAACACCTAGCTTTTGGCAGAAATTCACATGCATGGCTTTTCCAGTACAAAGTCACAGAGGAAGAACATCCCCACACCAGTTGCTGATGTCTGTTATTGCAATTACATATTTTTATTAGTTTATTGAAACATGAAAATTATCCTTGTCATCTATTTACCAGAGGGCTTGTTTTGTGTTCTCCCACTGTTATATACCTGCATCATATCTCTGCCTACAACTGATTTGATCATTTTTTCTTTACCTCCACAATGAGGAACTGAACATCTGAGAAGTATCAAATCTTGCTGACCTTGCCTTTGGTAGGCTGTTAACTGTGGCTGTATTCATCTGACTATGAGAAGGGATACCCCCCCTTTTGCATGGACTAGTAACCCAGTGTGGTGGTCGTCGTCATGCCCCCCTCCCCCAACAGCAGCTCCAGCTTGTTTTTGAACCCGGATGCACACCTATGATCACATGGAGAAATGGAAGCATAAATTGGCTATATAGTTGGAAGTAATTTCCACAATTGTAGTAGTTCTTTCTAGCTGTCATAATCACTAATGGGAATCACTGTGACATAACGGCACAGTTCACATATTTTCCCATGCGACTGTGGGCCCAATGGGAATCACTGTGATTATCCACATCACGGCACAATTCACATATTTTCCCATGCGACTGTGGGCCTCACATGGAGAAAAAACTGGCTGAACTAATGCTGCTTTTAAAGTCCCTTAGATAGAGATATCTAAGTGGGATGTTATAGTTATCCCACTTTTTATCAAGGAAAAATGAAGTGCACTCTCACCATCCAGATTCAACTGGTTCTGGCACTGCGCCAATTACCACAGTAAATCTGAGACCCATCCTAAGTATGGAACAGCTTTGTATGAACACAGCATTCCATGACTATAGCCTCTCACAGTAATATCCGCCACCAGTAAAAAACAATTGCTCTGGGAAAATTCACATACATAAAAAAACCCAGACCACAAACCCCCAAAATACCGAGACAGCAAAGCCCCCTTTAGGGAGTAAGATTACTGCCACTAACAGACAACTCCAGACCAAAATCAAGAAGAGTTAACATTATTTTTCCAGTTTTACGGTTTCATGACAATGCTCTAAAACTTCCCATAGCCTATGACATGCAGCCAGAGTTCTATTAATATATTTCAAGAGAATGCCAGATTGCTAACATTTTGTTCCAATAAGTATGCCTCAGCATGAAGGCTCCTGACCAGTCTGCTAGTCTTCCAAGCCCCTTTAAAGGCCTGTAACTACAGCTTGGGAGCAAGGCCATCTTTCCATATCAATATTTCCACCGTCAAAGCTCTGCCCATTACAACAGGTTAAAATTAAAAAAACAAAATCTATGAAACAGGTTTATGACAGTTAAAATATAATTGTTCTGTACAATATGAATGAGGCTGGAATTTCATATATGCAGTATTGGTCTACAACATAATGCACACAATTCTGCAGGGTCACAGACAGTGAGATCTACAACACAAAATGAGGACTGGGTCTTGGAGCACCAGTTTCTTGTCTTCATTTACAGCATCTTACATTCTGTTCAGCATGGGGCAACTTCTCTGCCTGGAAGAATACAGTCATTGTCTGGATGATGCCCATATTCTCACCAAGTTTCCTGTGCTACTGCTGTTTTCTGTAGGATGGCCCTGCTACAGTATTGTTTCACACCTATTATTGAAAAGGTGGTTTATAACTGCTGGATCTGCCACTGTGGAGGTATCTCCCAGCTCCCGGTCATTTTTTGCAATCTTCCTTAATACCCGCCGCATAATTTTACCTGCAAAGAAATGGCATTTGAGCATCAATTGTACTTTTGTTATGAGAAAAAAATAACTGTGATATTTGGGCAATTAGTTACACAGGATTTTAGGACACTGGCACTTTAGCATGATTTACAACTGACACACACTGATTCTGAACACTAAAGAAATACAAGATCTCTGAGTATAACTAACATTCAGAGCAGAACTGGAATTATTAGCTAATTCTCCCTGGCCCAGCAGCTCCGGAAATTTGCACCAGGTACATAAGGTACAATTCTAAAATGTTTACTAAAGGAGGAATCACACACTTCTAGAAGAAATTGACCAAAAGTTAGTTCTACCTTGTCCTGGAGTGTCCGCATGAAAATTCCTGTGTTGCTCGATTTGGGCATCTAGCCTGCTCCCTCATGGCTTGCTTACAATCCTTCCTGCCACACAAAGCCAACCCCCATGCAACAGAGAAATCAAAACCATACCTGAACGGGTTTTAGGCAGGCCAGGAGCATGCTGAATATAATCTGGAGTTGCAATAGGTCCAATCTTTCCTCTAACTGCAATGGAGACACTGATGTTAGCTGCAAAGCTTAATCAGCGCGGCACATTTCAGAGGACAAGAAACTTGAGGAAATCAAAACCCCACCTGAACATGAAGCCTAGTAAAGGCTTGCCTCCCTGACTTGGCTGAAAACAAACAGTATCCACACAAAACACTGGCATCCCACCAAGTAAGGGGATTCTGTTGGACACATTCCCCCAAGCACATTACACATGACGGAGAGACTAAAAAATTGGGCTAGCTTTTTGAAGGAAGAAATAAACAGTCCACCTTTGGCTGTGGATATACCATTATTATACACAAGAAACAGGCTTCAAAAGCATATCTGCAGCACTGAAGTTTAGAATGCTATCATGTAACCTCTTCCTTTGTTTCCCTTCAGGCTTGAAATTAAGGTTTGGGTTATTTACTTCATTTATACCCCATCATTCTCCCCAGTGGGGACCCAGAGCGCCTTACACAGTTCTCCTCTGTTCCCTTTTATCCTCACAACAACCCTGTGAGGCAAGCTAGGCTGAGTGTGTGTGACTGGCCCAAAGTCACCCCAGCAAGCTTCCATGGCTGAGTGGGGATTTGAACCTGGGTTTCCCAGATCCTAGACTGACAGTCCAACCACTGCACCATACTGGTTCTCACTGAGGGCTCTTTCCTCAGAGTTTCTTTCTGGTTAGCAATGCTTCATTTCCTAAAAGATTTGAAAGGTACTAGAGAGAAACCAGTTAAGGTTCCTTTTCAATTCCATGTGTGGCACTGACTAGGCTTCTTCCTACAAGAGTGACCCTAGAACACACCCCACATCTTCTAGCTGTGCACAATGCATATTTCACAGGTAATCTGAGTCTCTTGAGTCTCTCACTGAGGTAGCCCAAGATCCCCCAGAACACATACTTTGAAAACTTCTTATCTCAACATGCAAATATTCACAAAGCTTAAAGTGATGCACCCTTAAGCACAAGCTCCTATAGCAGCTGGATATACTGCACCCTGTTTGGAGCCCGAAAAGTGCTTAGTGTCTTTAGTAGCAGTGAAAAACTTCACCTTTTCATTCTGCCTTCCAAAATCCTGGCCATGATGAAAGGCTGTTGTAGCAAAACAAGAGAAATACCTCTACACGGGAATCAGGCAGGGAGTAACTACCACTTAAGAGGCACATTCTTCCCACTCCTGATATAAAGAAGTTCTGGGAAAGCATTCCTCTGCTTATTAAAAGATAGTCCATTTAGTTATTGCTGTTGTCATAAAAGCACCAACTAGGCAAATGCCCGAAATATCAAGGGCCAAGCTTGGAAACCAGCCAGACTCTGTAATCCACCTCCTACCCAGCAACAATTCTGGCAACGAGAGCTGGAAGGCTGATGGGCACATGCCCCCTTTGCGGAACCCAAGCCCTGTTCATGAGGCAACCAGCCTGCCCTTGTGTATTCTGATTGGCTGCCAGTTGGCACAGAAGGTACCACATGGGAAGTAACAAGGCCAGCAAAGCTAATTTTAGCTTCTGGAAGAACCAACATGACCCTTTTATTTGAAAAATGCCTTGTCAGCAAGGATAAGGGAGAAACTGAATTGTCATAGGGCAGGGACGGGGTTGAGTGGAGAAAGACCACAGCAGAGCTGAAAGATGGTCTCTTCCAAGCTATCACAGAGGCTAACAAAAACCCCAAGAATGCTGTGTGAACTATCACAGAGTTCCCTTTTGCTAAGCAGGCTAACAAAAACCCCAAGAATGCTGTGTTGCACCTGCAATCCCCTGCCCAATGCCTTTTCAAGCCCATAAAACTTCACCCCGTCCTGCCTCATGTATGCCTTTCATTCAGTCAAGCAATCCTTTAGCCAAGTGACATGGGAAGGTCTACTATGATCACCTTGCTTCTTCAGTTCTTCCATCAAATTCTTTGTGAATTCGTGACCGTCTCTTAGAGTCACAAAACAGTAGAGGCACTCTCCCTTCACTGGATGTGGATGGCTTACCACGGCTGCCTCTGCAACAGCAGAGTGTTCTACCAGAGCTGATTCAACTTCTGCGGTGCTCAGCAAGTGTCCTGCAAGCAGGAAGAAATGAGCTGGCCTGAGTGACAAGGAATCTTCGCTATCGTTTATGTCACATTTTTCTACCCTCCTTCCACCAAGAAGCTCAGACTGGCAAACTGTGTTCTCCTCTCCATTTTATCCCAACACTCCGATAGGATAGGATAGGATAGGATAGGATAGGCATTGGAGATGCTGACAGTCCAACACCACCCAGTAGACTTCAAGGTTGAGTGAGGATTTGAACCCAGGATTTACCAGTCCTAGCCCAACACTACACACAAGCACATCAAAGTGCCTTATACCAAGCCAAAGTATTGGTCAAAGTCAATCTTGTCTACTCTGAATGGCAGCAGCTTTCCAGAATGTCTTTCGTATCACTTCCTGCCTGTTCCATTTATTGGAGATGCTAGAGATTGAACCTGGGACCTTCTGTATGCAAAACAGATACTCTACCATGGAGCCACAGCCAACCGCCATACCACACTGGTTCATAGATATTAAAAGATAATGCACAACGGGAGGGGCAGCTAAGCCCCAGCTTAAAGGGTGGAGCTCAAGGAACCCCTATTTGCCATGGTAATATTGGTTGATGTTAGCATGTTCCTCACATACATAAAAGGTCATGTAAAAATCCTTTGACTGAATATTTAATATGAGTATTTAACAAGAGACGTTCCGTAAGACCGTGGGGGGGGAGCTTTTGGTACTGAAGTGGCTATTTTAATAGGTATATTACTTCCTTGTATCTCTGTATGCATAAGGGAAGTATTCAGAAACACAGGGTTTGTCTGACTGATGAAAGCTCATCCCGCAGAAGATATTTCTAATACAAGCCAATATCTCCACTAGACCAATAAAATTATAGGAATTTTATCGATCACCTTACAAAATGAAATGTATTTCTAAACTTGATCTGTTTCATATACAGAACAATTGAGGTGGGTATATAAATATGAAGCTATCATCTCAGCTTCTTCTACTAGAAGCACTGAAATAATTATCAAGGACTTCAGTGTTTGCTTCTCAGAATCGTTTCATAGCTAAGATTCAAAGCCTATGCTTACTCTCACCCCTTCAAAATCAGCAGGATTTAAAATGGCTCAACTTTAGCTGGATCATGCCCCTGTTTGGCATCACTGGTATGCCAAATGCTGCTCCCAAATCCTCTCTACCCATCTGCTGTAGGACTGAATGCAGGATTTTGGTTTTTTTTAAAACAAACAAACAACTAAATGAAGATCTACTTTATACCCACCAAAGACTCCAAGATATTATGAACTTTTCAGTCTTCCAGTTAAAGATGTTTTTCAGGTAGCCCCAACCTTCCACAAATATTAGAGAACTCTGCTCTTACCTGAAACATTCAGCATGTCATCAATTCGACCAGTGATCCAGTAATAACCATCTTTATCTCTTTTGCAGCCTGGAAAAAGGACCAATAAATTGGACATTGTAAGGAAGCTAACTAGGAAAAGCCATGTAGGTCAGACTGAGGAGTTATTTTGGCACAGTGGAATTTGGTCATATTGCACCAAGCCTACAGCAGTAATAAAAGCTGATTAAAAAAAGAAAAGCAATACAGATAATACTATCATTTTAAAAGGTGTTATTCAAAAATAAATAAAGGGGAAATGCCAGGACCTACAAGCTTTCTAGAGAAGTCCAGCTCCCTACATTCAGCTGCAGGAGAGTACAGACAAAGATTAATGGCAGGGGAGGGAAGGGGGGGGGAAGAGGTCTATTTTGACCCTGCCCTTATCATTGCATGTTTCAACCTAAACTCTAACATTCAAAAACGATTTAAGGCTTCCCAAAAGCGAAATGCATTAGCTCGCTAAGACACACACAACATATTACACACAAAAATAGTTTTTGTATCCACATTAGAAAGAAAATGCCCGCACTGGAAAGGGAATGAGCCACTTGCAAGGCATCTTGTGGCTGCTAATGTTCCCCCTTCTTCGTTAGTAGTGAGCAAACTTGCTAAGATGTCACTACCTCCTGGCTCCAGGATGTTGTGTTGGAGCCTTACCATCTCCAGTCACATAGTAACCAGGAAACTTCTTGAAATAAGTGGACTCAAACCGCTGGTGATTTTTGTACACTGTGCGCATTATTCCAGGCCAGGGTTGCTTAAAAACCTAGAGGAGAAGATAGAGAAGTGACTTTAATAGAAGGTGAAGATACAGAGTATACAAAGAGATGCATTTTTAAAAAATTATGTCTAATTGGGGATCACTTGCAAACTATTTTTCTACCCTGCAATGTACAACATCTGCTTCAGGACCTTCACACTAACCATTGGCGGTATGGAGTAGTGGATAGAAGGGTGAATTTGGAATGGGAAGAGTGCGTTCAAATCCTCACTCAACCCTACAGCACACCTGGATGAGTCACTATTTCTCAGACTAACCTACTTCACCAGATAATCCTCAGCTTCTTGATGGAGGAAGAACAAGCATGTTACCCACTGCCATGATGTTAGGCAATGCACAGCACAGTTCCAAGCATAATGGCATTTCAAACATTTCAGTGCTCAGGGGATGGAAAGCAGCACATCACTATTCTTGCACCCCCAATAATGATTCCCCAGTACTCTTGCCTTTGCTCCCTGTAAGGCAACCATTAACCATAAAACACAGACCAAATGGTTTCAGCTTTCATAAACAGAACTGCAGCAGCCAGTTTCAGAAACTGGGCAGTGTTCAAGCAACAACCCCCCCCCCATTGCCTTTTAGCCACTATAACTCTGCTCTGGGCCACAGTCCATTCTGCCAACATGCTCTACAACATGTTTGCTCCTGATGGAAAACTACTTGCACACCCCCTTGTGAAATCACAGCTCCATTATTCCAATTCTGCTCTGCTCCTGCCAGGAAACTGATCCAATCTGAGGCCAACACAATACCCTGAGAGTGCTAAAATGCTGTCACACTCGAAAAGCAAGATCTCCACACCATACAGATAAAAGTCATTGCAGCACAAACAATGTGTTATGGGACAGACGGTGCATGAACAGGGCTTTTGCAAAACGGGAATCTTACTCCAAAGTTCATAACACACTTTCAACCAAGTCTGGGTTCAGCTAGTAGCAATAAGAACTTCTCACCAGGTAGCCTTCTGCTTCTCCTTCCAGCTCTTCTCCAGCTTCATCCAGCACAGCAGGAACCACCCCAAAGAAAGGGAATGTCTGCCAAAGAATATTCATAGCAGAATTTTGGAGAATTGGGGGGGGGGGAATATTAGACTTAACCCCAGAAAAAGGATACAGCAGCTTGGGAAAGGAAGTTAGCCCAGAAATGAGTAAGATCTCAGATTTCTTGTATATGCCCATCTTAAAATATTAATCACAGAAAGGTACATAACTTTTAGATGACAATAAATGTAGCTAGTCAACATTCAAGCTGCCTTCCAGGAAGGGAAAGTCTATTACCATACAATCACCTTGTACTGGGTATGCCTTAGAATGTGCTTTATATATGGACTAGCAGTAAAGCCCGTTGTGAAAGCAATACAACGGGATCTAGAAAGAGGCTCTGGGGGAGTGCTCTGGCTTTGGGCAAACAGTGTCAATTTGCTGTGGTGACCTCAGCAGGGTATAATGACAGAGTCCACTGTTTTCTCCAGAGGAACTGATCTCTGCTACCTGAAGAGCAGTTGTAATTGTGAGTGATCTGTAGCCCTCACCTGGAGATTGGCAGCAATTGTTACCCAGGACAAAATGGCTGGTTTGGAGGGTGTAGTCTATGGCATTCTACCTGTCTGAGGTCCCACCCCTCTGCAAACCCCACCCTCTCCAGGCTCCACCCCTCAAATCCCCAGGAATTTGTCAGCATGTAGTTGGCAACCCCATCTCCTTCCCAGCTAACCATCAACCTACCATTATCTGCCCCTTTGACTTCAGCTGACTTCTGCCCTCCCTTCTGCAGAGCAGTTGTAATACTGAGTGCTCTCCAGCCCTCACCTGGAGATTGGCAACAATGGTTCCCTATGTGAGACTGACTGGTTTGGAGGGTGGAGTCTATGGCAGTGTACCTGTCTGAGGTCCCACCCCTCCTCAAACCTCACCCTCTTCAGGCTCCATCCCTCAAGTCTCCAGGAATTTCCCATCTGGAGTTGGCAACCCTATCAGGATTGGCCCCAATGTGTTTTCTCCCAAAGGCCAAAGTAGGTGACAGGACCAAGCTTAGTTGCCTACCAACAGGCACTGAGGGGAATGTAGGGTTGCCAGCTCTAAGGAGGGAAATACCTGGAGGTTTGGGGGGTGGATTCTGTAGAGGGCCGGGCGACGGAGGCATCGGCCTTCTGTCGCCCGCCTTGCCCCCCCAATCTCGGCCCGGGCACCCGCGGCTCCCACCAGCGGCCGCCCGACTCCAGACTCCCCCGCGGCCACTCCAGCCAGGCGACGGAGGCATCGGCAACATGATCCTGGGACCTACACACCACCAGACATTCCAACTGCCTTGCAGGGGGGGGGAGTATGAGGTGTGGAATGGAGTGAAGTCCAATCAGCTTCCATATGCAAAAGACCTTGAAGGTTCCATATGCAACTGACATTCCAACTGCCTTGCGGGGAGGGGGGTGAGTTTGAGGTGTGGAATGCAGTGAAGTCCAATCAGCTTCCATATGCAAAAGACCTTGAAACACTGGGCGGGACTGTACAAAGCAGCCAGTCAACCCAGCCAGCGTCTTCTGACTGACTGTTCAAGCGTCCATACACTAAAGGAGTGCATTTTAGAACTTTGGCACCCACTATTCAATTATATATAAGGAGAGATCCCCCCCCGATGTCTGCATTCCTTTGCATGCTCTTGAGAATAGTACTGTGCAGACATGGTGCCCCCTGTCTAGGAGCAATCCCAAAATGACCAATTCATTGGAGGAAAGAGCACTGCTGCACCAACAGAAAACAACAAGCAAGAGCCATACTCACTGCAGATCCTGGCTTCATTGGTATGGCAGCAGGTAGAGGAGTCAACACATGGCCACCCTGGAGGAGGAAACCAAGAATGATCATGAAAGCACCAATTTCTTCAGACTGGAAGGTCCCACCTAAATGTTTTTACAGCCTGAATAGGGCAGAAGGTTAGTTATCAACATGATGGTTCACATACCTAAATGAAGGCCATGAAACGGAAATAGTAATTATACAGGGGAGCATGGTTTGGAAATAGAGGGAAGAACAAGAAATGGAAGAAGAAAGCAAAAAGCTGCAGGTCATAAGGTATGCAGAGTACCCTTACTAGCAGCATATTGGAAAAAGTTGAGACAAAACAGGTGGGAGATGTCACTTTGGGGCACAATAGATTGTGCCCATGCACCTCCAAGCAACAATTCTCATGCAACAGACAGACACTAGCAAATTTGCAGATGAAATCCAAACACCCAATGCTTGGAGAGTGCAGGGGGATCCCAGTAGTCACAGAGACAGACAAGCAAGAGAACTCACCGTCTCTGTCTGCCAGAAGGTATCCACTATAGGGCATCTCTCTTCTCCCACAACCCTGTAGTACCACAGCCAAGCTTCTGGGTTTATGGGTTCCCCAACTGTTCCTAACACCTTCAAAGACTTCCTGCTGTACCTGCCGTTAAGAAGCACATGTGTTTTAAAAAGAGAGGGAAGGGAAAAAACAGGTTACTTACCTGTAACTGGTGATCTTCAAGTGGTCATCTGTGCATTCACACCCATGGGATACAGTGCGCATGCGCTGGATCGATCGGCATTGTAGCAAGCTCTCAACGGATTTTCGCGCCCAGACCTCGGGCATGCGCAGCAACCCCACCACGCATGCCCAGAGGGGTGGGCGCAAACATCCTGCCAGTTCCTTCAAACTGCCGCAAATCAACCCCTATGAAAAATGTAGAAGCGGACAGCAGCGGGGAAGGAGGGCGGGTGGTGTGAATGCACAGATGACCACTCAAAGATCACCAGTTACAGGTAAGCAACCTGTTTATCTTCGACGTGGTCTCTGTGCAGTGTGGAGACGAAGACAGGAGCAATGGGGTTCTGAATTAATTCTATGCGGTAACCCTGGGTCAAGATGGACAGCACCCATTCGTCTGTGGTGATGAGGCGCCAAGTTTGGAGGAAGGGGGTTAGGCGGGTTGGATGTGACTGGAAGACATGGGAGTCAAAAACCCTGCTTGGCGGACTTTGCCTGCTTACTGCGGGAGGACTGTTGTCCCAATCCAAATCTAGGTTTCTGAAATGTGGGCTTCTGGCCTCCAGAGGATGTACGTGGCCTCCATTGCCGGTCAGGAGATTGACAGTTTGGGGTGCGTTTTTGCCAGGGTCTAGACCGGGGACGAGGTCGGTATCACTGCCTCGTGGATGAAGAAACACCCAGAGCACGAGAAGCTTTTATGCTTTTATCCATATCTTGTAATATGGTGTCTGTGGTACTATTAAACAGACCAAGGCCATCGGAGAGGTCCTCTATGTATGACCTAGCATCTGGCTGTATATTGGTGTTATGTAGCCAGGAATTGTCTTCTAAGAGCTATGGCTGAAGCCATTGTCCATGAGCAGGTGTCTAGGGCATGTTTAGAGGTATTAATTTGTTGTTTCGCCAGCACCATGCCCTCCTTTCGGATGATGCGGGCTGCCTGACGCTTGTCTTCTGGAAGGTTAGCCAGAAGCTCAGAAAGCCTCTCCCACAAAGTGTATCATACGCTAAGTAGTTGATGGTCTTCAACCCTAGCTCTCCCGTAGAGTAGAAACATCGTCCGAATGCATCTAACTTTCTGCTCTCCTTGTCTGAAGGTGCACAATGGGTTCTTTTCGACTTGGATGAGGAAGTGACTACCATGGAGTTTGGTTGAGGATGGGCAAATAAGAATTCTGTTCCTGTTTCCTGGACTCTATACATATGGTCCAAGCGACATCTGGACACTGGAGCCGATGATGGTTTATCCCATGGAGCTTTAGCTGCCTGTAACAGGACTGTAGACATGGGTAGTGCTATAGCCGTCGATGTTATCGAGTTGTAACACATCGAACACGGCATCTGTAACCTGTGGTTGCAGTTGTACGACTGAAAGGCCAAGGGAGTGGGCCGTTCTTTTTACGAGGTCTGCATAGGAAGTTAAATTGTCAGATGGAGATATAGGTTGGTCGTCGGCTACTGCCTGATTAGGAGACAGCTGGTCAGGGGAGCTGTGCACATCTGAAGCCCCTGTATCAGAATCCACATCCACAGAGTCAGAGGAATCAGGCTCTAGTAATTGTACGGGAGTGGTTTTGATCTGACTGGTTGGATCCGTTGACGGTGGGATAGGGGAACTGGGAGGACAATATTGATCCGGTCGATCTCGAGGAGGGTCATCAGATGGATGATCCAGAGGACGGGAGAGAGATGCTGAGGGCCTTGATCTATGGGGTGACCGTGATCTGTGGGCAGAGTAACTAATCCCAATCAGAGTAACCTGCAGGAGTCAACCACGGCATGGATGGGGTGGATAAGCCCCACAGAGATAACGCAGTTGGCAGTGATCCCAGGAGAGAGCAGGAGGTCTTGGGGGCAGGAAGACTCGTGGCGATCTACTCCTAGAGCGGGAGCATCTGGAAGACAGTGTAGCATCTCGTCTCCATGAGCGGCCCCTATTAGCCCGATCATCGATATTGAAATGTCGATCATCAGCAAACAGACGGGGAGGATGATGTTGAGTGCTTTTAGGGATCTGTTGATGCCGACCCACATCAATATCGGCATGGAACTCTGAGGCTGTCAATGTTGATGACTGAGCAGAGGGAGAGCGATCCGTGCCCAGAGGACAACTGAGGATCTCGACATTATCGATGTCGGAGAAAGGACGCATATCGACCAGCATGTCATGGTCTAGTTGGTGTATGGGAGAGTCCATTAGCTGGATGGTCGGTATCGGTGGAGCGACTGGAGCGTCCCATGCCAATACTGCCATTGGAGCGGGGGGCACCTTAGGGGCATTACCCGGTGCAGGACCCACGACTTTTCCAGATTTCGTCGCCTTTAGGGCCTTAGAGGAGCCCTTTTGGTAGACCTGTGCTCCTTGCTCGATTTCAGCTTCTTTTTCACGGGAGTGGACGCCGCAGACTGCGCCGTCAGTGCCGGAGGCTTCGATGTCAATTGGACGATGTCAGACAAGGGCTTCGATACTGGAGCTGTCGATCTCAACGGTCTTACCGGCACTTCTGAATCCATGACTGAAGCGGGATTTAGCGCCGACTCCAGTAACGCTACTCGGAGACACGCCGCTTGGTTTTTTCTGGTTTGATTTGAAAACTTGGCGCAGTGTCGACAGAACTCTGGTCGGTGCGTCTCACCAAGACAAAAAATACAAAGGGTGTGGCCGTCAGGTGGAGCAAGCTTACTGCCACAACCCTTGCAATGCTTGAAAAAGCCCCACTTCTCCATAAAATAAGCAAGACGAGGAAGAAAAAGAGGTGGGGGGGAGGGGAAGTCCGAAGGCCAAAGTGAGGTAAACAAAAAACTTCCCCTTCAACTAAACAAAGTCTATTTTTTATTTTTTTATTTATTTTGTTTAAAGAAAACAACCAAAAACAAAGGTAGAAGCGAAAAATAAAGAAAACTGAAGAGAAATTCGAAGACCTCTGAGGAAAAATAGCTACCGATCAGACCGATGAAAGGAAGGTGCTTCCAGTGTGGCAGAAAGAAAGGAACTGGCGGGATGGCCGCACCTACCCCTCTGGGCATGCGTGGTGGGGTTCCTGCACATGCCCGAGGTCTGGGCGTGAAGATCCGTTGAGAGCTTGCTACAATGCCAGTCGATCCAGCACATGCACACTGTATCCCATGGATGTGAAGCACAGAGACCACGTCGACGATCCTTCCATATGAAAAACAGAACTAGGAAGGTACCATGCAGCATGGGGGCTACTCACTAGACTTGTACAGCAGTCCTAGAAATCCAGAAACTTCCATGTGCATTAAAGGTTATTTAGAGAGGCCTGCCAAGACATAGTAACTGCAAGCACAAGTAACCTGGAAGAGATTCAGGCAGACATTTCCTAGCACCTGCAGCACTAGGGCTCAAACTAAGTTCCAGCTGTTACTCTTTCCCCTCTTCCTTTGGTTTTTACATAACACAGAATAGAAGATTAAGAATGAATATTCACCCTAAACTTAGGTGCCTGGGGGTAAAGGCTGAGGCAGTTTGCTTTGGCCCAATTCTAAATGCATGCTGGGGAGTCTGTGGTAGAGTGATAGAGTGGAGGTCACCAACCTTTCCTTTAATGAGAGCTACTTCTGAGCAGTGACACATGCTACCAAGTTTATTCTATTACAGAAACATAGACTAGGAAAACCAGCAAAAATGAAATGTCAACTAAACACAGAGAAAAATCTTGTGAAACAAAAAGCTTTTTAAAAAGCCAGGAACAATCTTTTCCTGGGTCTTCTATGGGATGCACGAGCTACTCTGCAAGCTATCTGAAGGGATAGAAGACCCCTGTTACACAGCATCTATTTCTACACACAGTAGATCCCAGGCAGAGGCCCTGGCATCTCCAGATAGCAGAAGACCTTATGCAATAGGTGTTGCTGAAGAGCTCTTTCTATGCAAAACCCTAGGAGAGCTGCTCCAGTCAGAATAGACAATACTGAGCAATGGTATGACCGTATGAGACATCTTCTAATGTTCATAAAGGAGACATTATCTACTTTTCTGTTCGTCATGCTTACTTCCTAACAGGTTCATCTCCATACTTCATAAGGAGGCGGATGGCCGTGGGTGCTGTGTAGAACTTGGTCACCTTGTACTTATCAATGACACTCCACATGCGACCAACATCTGGGTAAATGGGAAGCCCTTCAAACTGAACAGGAGACACAACTGTTAGCAAGAACTAGTTCCACTGCTGCTTCCAGGACATAGTGCAAAATACAGCCATGTAGTCCAAACAATAGTAATCAGCCCAAATGATATCTGGGACCAGTCTCACCATCTGGCTCAAGGCGGCTTATCTGCTCAGGAGAATACACCCAACAGAAGAATGGCAGAAAGAAAAACAGAGAGACTATGGCGATCAGTTTTAAGGTCATCACCAAGCGTAGAACCCAGGTCCCTTGTTCTGTACAGCATGAATCTCTATGAAGATCTGGCTGTGGATATATGAATTTTGGCCCACAGCCATTTATGAAGATCCAATAGCTCAAATTTCAATTAATAACTTTAGATCTGATGATATACATTTCAATAGAGGGATGAGACAGGGTTGCCCCTTGTCTCCAATTTTGTTTGCTATTTCCTTAGAGTCACTGGCATATGCAATTAGAACTGACTCAGATGTTTTAGGAATAGAAATAAATGGGGAAAATTGCAAAATGAGTTTATTTGCTGACAATGCCACTTTTTATTTAAAAAATCCTAAATTTTCTATAATAAATTTAATGAAACATATAGATAGGTTTAGTTCTATTTCAGGTTTCTTGATTAACTACGCCAAATCTGAATTATACCCAATTATAATTTCCCCGTCAGATAAGATAGAATTAACTTTATTATACCCATTTAGATGGGTTACGAAACAATGGAGACACCTGGGTATTAGTATACCTTTAGATTTGAAAGATCTGGCTTCAAGTAATTATAATCATTTATCCACTCTATATAAAAACCCCTTGCAAGAATGGCAGAAATTACACCTCTCCCTATTGGAAAAGATAGATTTATTTAAGTCTATTTTGTTACCTAAATTTTTGTTTTTATTTCAAAATTTGCCAGTAGCCATTTCTAACACAGATTTCAAGAACTGGAAAATCCTTTTTTCTAAGTTTTCATGGGACAGTAAGAAACCCCGTGTTAAATATACTTTACTGCATAAACCTATCAAACAAGGGGGGTTAGGTTTACCCTCTCTAAACACTTATTTTGTAGCGGCCCAATTGAAAACTGTGCTATATTATGCTAACCCACAATGTGATAAAACATGGGTTTGTATTGAAGCAGAATCTCTTATTCCAGACATTTTACACGAGGCAATTTGGAATAGATCAAACGATAGACAGAGTTTAGGGTCGACAAATAATTTCTTAAATTTCACACTAACCTTGTGGGACAAATATAAAAATGTAATAGCTCCGGGTATTTCCCCATTAACTGCTTTTGGGGGGCAACACTGGTTTATACCAGGTAGGGAACACAATCAGTTTTCAAATTTAAGGGAAAATGGTTTGTATTGATTAGTAGATTTAATATCAAATAAGCAAATGGGCTCTCAAACCCATTTAGAACAAAAATTTAAGGTTAAAATACAATGGTACCAATATCAGCAGCTGAGACATATGTTTATGGATTTGTCTAAGATGAATTTTTTGGACAAACCTTTAACACAATTTGAGAAATATATGCATAAACCTTTGCATACCTTAAGAGGCATTATATTGGTTATATATAAATTGATAAATGAAAAGGAATGGAGTCAGACATCATCTATTCAAGGAGTATGGGAGAGGGAATGTGTAAATACTATAACCAAAGAACACTGGAATGTGGTCTGGTCCTCCTCCTCATTCACAACTAATAATTTAGCAATCAGACTACAGACATTCAAAATTTATTTGTGATGGTATTTGACACCTAATCGCTTATTTTTATGTAAATTCAAGTAAAATCCAAATTGTTGGAAGGGTTGTGGACAGAAGGGAAATTTCTTGCATTGTTGGTGGAATTGCCCAAGAATTTTTAGTTACTGGACGCTTATTATACAAGAAATTAAATCACCGGTTATGTTATTCCAAAAACTCCGGAATCTCTTCTTCTTAATCACTGGCCAAATCTAAAATTTACAAAACAAACAGCTGAATTGCTTTCTTTGCTCTTTTCAGCTGCAAAATCGTTATTAGCTCAAAGATGGAACCAAGATGGAATTCCGACATTGAATAATTGATTTTCTAAAGTGTGGGAAGTGATGGTGGCTGACAAGATAGCCACTCAATTGTTAGTAGCACAGTCCCTGTTAAAAAGTAATAATCTCTTGGAAAAATGGTTTTCATTTTTAGAGTATACATCTATACATGTGAACAAATTGCCTCATATTCCAGAGAAATATAGAAGTACTGCTCTTTATTAAAATGTTGGAGTTTGAACAACAGTCATGGTTAATATATATATAATAGTCTATTTTGCAGTTGTGTTTTAATAGGTTGCTAATTATAGGTTGTTAAATGTTATTGTTATAAAAAAGTCTATGTCACTTTAACAAAATTTTGTATTAAGTAAATTGTTTCTTTTTTGAAAAAAAAATAGTAATAAAAAAAGATCTGGCTGTGGCAGTCACATCATCTTTCGAGATATTCATATTGATAAACTCTTCTCTTTGGCTCAAGTCATTGATGACAATGTTTGCAGACACTGATATAAGCACATTACCCTGGGATGACACACAAATTCAATTTCTGCCAAGGAATTCAGACTTGGTGTTTCCAGTTCTGAAAGTATCCCCAGACCATACCCTTCCCATACATCCGTATCTTACACCACAGAACTTACTAAGACACTAGTTGCCCCATTTGCCAAAGGCCCATATGTGAGGTAGGAATGGCCAGTTATCCATCCAATGTCAGCTGTGCACCAGTAAATGTCCTCAGGATGGTAATCAAATACATATTTAAATGTAACAGCAGTGAAAATCATGTATCCACCTATAGTATGTACGACACCCTGAAACAAAGAACAAGGTATTCATAAAAAGCTGGTACAAAAGGACACAAACCAGTATTGCTCTGCCAACTACAACACTGGCCAGTCAAATATATTAATATCAAAATGCCTACTTTTAATATGGCAGCTCACTTAAGAGAAGAGTTTGTGTGACCAGTTTTTACAGGAAAACACCACCACAGTGTGTGACATCTCTTTGTAATCCTTCCATGTTTACGAAGGTGAGGAGATAGGGGTGCCCTCTTTTTGCCATCAAGTCACAGCTGATTTATGGTGACCATGCAGGGTTTTCAAGGCAAGGGACATTCAGAGGTGGTTTGCCGTCGCCTCTCTCTGCAACCCTGGTCTCCCATCCAAGTACTAACTACGACTGACCCAACTTAGCTCCTGAGATCTGATGAGATCAGGCTAGCTTGGGCCGTTCCAGTCAGGGCCCTCCACCACAATTCTGATGGGAACTCAAAACTGATTTCTGAAGGTCATATAACATATGTACGGTGATTAAACAATGGTGACATTATAAAGGGTTCTCTTCCTAGTTTAGAATAATTAAAGATGATGTTAAGGTGACAGAAGAAAACCCAGATATCAGCTTGTTGGGAGGTCAAGACAAGCAGCAGTCTGAATCATGGCAGCCATGCTTGCAGCTTAACACAACACAATTCAGTAAGGCTAACTAGGGTGGAGAGCAGTGTTCCCTCTAAGCTGAGTTAATGTGAGCTGGCTCACAGTTTTTTAGCCTCCGGCTCACACATTTTTGTCTTCGCTCAGGAAGGATGGCTCCAGAGTAAACTAATTTATGCAGTAGCCAGATCACTCGCTCACAACTTTAATGCCAGTAGCTCACAAAGTAGAATTTTTCCTCACAAGACTCCACAGTTTAGAGGGAACACTGGTGGAGAGAACTATTACTGACTGGAGAGCAGACAACATATGTTTGGAGTTTTCCATACAACAGCTCCTGAGCATTCCAAAGCCACAAGCAACAGGATCAACAGAGAGACTTTCAGCACTGTCTCTGTTAAGAGATTTTTTGAAGATCTCTGTTCTTGACATAGCCAAATTTTATCCAAGTGTTCTTCTCCACAGGGCTAACTCCTATTTTATAATTATTTACTATCACTCATGTAGACCTTCTGCACAGATGAACCTGTCCTTTTGAACACATATGGTGCTGGAGCTCTGCAGTGATGTGAATGCATTAGCTACTTTCTCAATGTACACCCCAGGAAATGAAACCAAGATACTACACTGAAGTTTTTTAATGGTCACACCTTTAAATACTTTTCTCTCAACAGCAACCATCTCAGAGTTGCATTTTTAAGAATAAAGTACAAGGACATATGGCATGATCTCATTTTGTGATAACACCCTTTTAAATTGAAATCATTACTTCGATTATTTTCACAGAAGGAGAGTGATAACCTGCCTTCTCTGTATAGATGCAGCAGAAGCTTAAGAATTGTTCAGTGTTACCAACAAGACCTGCACGTAAGCATCCCAGAATGGGTCTGCGGGCTGTATTTCAGCCAATCTGCAACACTCGACACACATCATATTAGAGCACAGTCTTTGTACACATCTTCTCCTTTCTGTTTCCGCTGCCACCCCCAGCCCAGCACAAGTCTGAATCCAAGTGGACACACGTCAGGCAGGGGCGTGGAGATGAGCGTGATGTGATAAAGCCATGCTGAGTCCCCTTTGGGGTAAGAAGGGGGCAATAAATACTTCAGATAAATATCCCTGTAAATCTCCCCCTGCACATATTGGCAGTAGCCCAGAATAAAATAATGTACCTTTGGTTTCCCTGTTGATCCAGAAGTGTAGAGAATAAACAATTCATCTTCTGCATCACACCACACAGGCTCACACTCCTTGCTGGCATTTTTCATAACATCATGCCACCAAACATCAACTTCTGAATCCCAAGGAATCTGAAGAAAACCACACAGTGAGAGGCATGATATTTAAAGACAAAGAAAAAAAAATTGGGGGGGGGGGGTTTCACAATGGAACTCTTGTACTGCAAATGAAGGTACTCTGAAGTCACAGAATCTGTAACTTACTTTGCCTTCGGAGTCACAGCTCTGCTTCACAGTTCCTGTCCTTAAGAGTAACTTACCCCTTTACTGGCTGCAAAAACATTACACTCTAGTAGCGCACAGTGCTTGTCTCCAGACCATTTTCTATATCCTAACCCAAGCTGTGTTGTCATTAAGCAACTATTTTTATTCTTGAACATAGTTCTTTTCTCCCCTAGATGTAACTGTTTAGAATGTTCTACTGTCCAAGCCTCGCTTGCAAGAAACTTCATTTAGGAGAAAACATACTTCTTGCTATTACTACTACTGTATATAATGTATACACTCACTTAACTTGCCAAATTCCTTAAAACCATAGAGTTGAAAGGAGCCATACAGAACATCTAGTCCAACCCCCTGCTCAATGCAGGACCAGCCTAAAAAGCATCCCTGACAAGTACAGCTTTAGACAGGGTTCCCCATGATGTTCTGATGGGTAAACTGGAAGACTGCAAAATGGACCCTATGATAGTTATGTGGACAGGGAACTGGTTGGAGAACTGCACCCAAAGGGTAGCTGTCAATGGCGTTTCATCTGATTGGAGGGAGGTGTCCAGTGGGGTACCACAAGGTTCAGTTCTGGGCCTGGTACTATTCAATATTTTTATAAATGAAAGGGTGGAAGGACAACTCATTAAATTCGCAGATGACACCAAATTGGGAGGAGTATCAAACACCTTGGAAGATATAGAATTTAATGAGATCTGAACACACTGGAAAAGTGAGCTAATGTGAACAAGATGCAATTTAACAAGAGTAAGTGCAGAGTTCTACATCTGGGCAACAAAAATGAGAAACATGCACGTTGGATGGGGGACACACTTCTGGGTAGTGGTGTCTGTGAAAAAGATCTTGAAGTATGGATGGACTGTAAGATAAATATTAGCCATCAGCGTGACGCAGTGGCAAATAAGGCTAAGGTGGTCTTGCAGTATATCCACAGAGGCATAACATCCAAGTCACAAGATGTCATAGTCCCACTGTACACTGTATTGGTCAGGCTGCATCTGGAGTACTGTGTGCAGTTCTGGAGGCCTCATGTGGACAGAATGGAACAGGTACAGAAGAGAACAAGAAAGATGATCAAGCGCCTGGTGACTAACAGGAAAAGCTGAGGGACCTGGAATGTTCAGTTTGGAGGTGGGGGGGGTGATTGCTCTCTCTGCATTCTTCCACCTTCAGCAGGTCAAGCAGCTGGTTCCCTCTCTTTCTCCTCACAACTTAGCTACAGTGATCCATGCAATGGTCACCTCCAGGCTGGATTACTGAAACTTGCTGTACACAGGGCTACCATTGAGACTGACCCAGAAACTGCAGCTGGTTCAGAATGCAGCAGTGCATGTCGTTACGGGAACATCACAAAGAGCACATATACATCTGGTGCTGCATCAGCTGCACTGGGTCCCAGTTGAATTCTGGATCAAGTTCAAGGTTCTGGTTCTAACATTTAAAGCCCTATGCAGACGGGGACCAACATGCCTACAGGAGCGGCTCTCCCAATATGTCCCTTGAAGGGCTCTGCGCTTCTCTGATCAAATCTACTGGTGATCCCCGGCCCAAAGGATGTACGTCTGGCCTCAAGCAGAGCCAGAGTTTCCTCAGCTCTGGTGCTGGCCTGGTGGAATATGCTCTCCCAGCTGAGATCTGGGCCCTGTGGGATTTAATGCAGTTCCGCAGGGCCTATAAAATAGAGATGTTCTGCCAAGCCTATGCTTAAGGCGGCAGGAATCCATCTGTAGTGCCCCCTCCGCTGCTCTGCCCTGCTGCTCTGTTCCATTATGGCTGACTTTCACACCCACCCATTTGCTCTGTACTGTTCCATCTACAGCTACTCACAATCAAGAATTCCTTGGGACTTTTTAATCATGCAGCAGATGCCATCAAATGCTTTAACAATGTTTTAATAATGTTTTTAATTGATTAATTATTTTATAGATTTTAAGGTTGTGTTCTATTTTAATTATGTTGTATTTTTTAACCATGTTGTGACCCGCCCTGAGCCTGCTGTGCAGGAGAGGGTGGGCTAGAAAACAAAACAAAACAAAAATAAATTTAAGTATTTGAAAGGCTATCACTTAGTGGAGGGGAGGGAGCTGTTCCAGCTGGCAGCAGAGGTTGGGACTGGCAATAATGGGTTTAAATTAAATCCTTACATTTGCTCTCCATCAAAGTAGGCAGGCTACCACTAGTGTATTACACATGGGAAACTGAGGCTGAGATGCAATCTTGCCCAAGGTCAAAAGAATAAATCCATGGCAGAGAGTGAAAGCTGAAATTCTCAAGATACAGTATAACGTTTTAACAAGAGCTCTAAAATGGCATTCTTGGTAATAGTGAACATAAAGGGATGTCAATATGGGGTCCCCTTGAGAATGTATAATCTAGTATTACAGAAGTCACATGCCTGTATGTGGTACTCATGTTTGACTATAATAATATCCATCTCCAATCTGCTAAATTGGTATCATTTTAAAGACTCTTAATAGTTTGCATTTCATTTTTATTTACATCTTTAAGAAATTCAAATATGCAAATATACCTGAAAAAGAGATCAAAACCATCAGTGAATTTTAGCAAATGGCCTCAGTGCCTTTGAGGTGTTACTATTAATTCAGCTCAGCTTCTCCTACTTAGGCCAGCACCATCCACAGCACTCCATTTTGAATGCACTGTGCATGCACTAAGGCCCATGTACAAGAATCAAATGCTTCTGAAATCTGCAAGTGACACTTAACATGCATTTCTGGCAACATGCACTTTTGTGAGCAACTCATCCATGAAGCATAAAATGTATCAGCTGAAATTGCAACTATATTATTACTGTCTTTATAAATTGCATTTCTAGCATTCAGCATTCACATATCTCTTTCTAGCGCTCCAAAGCATTTCTCACATAATCATGTTATAATCCATGCAACAACCCTGTAAGGTAGGCCACTACTGTCATCCTTGTACAGCAGATGGGGGGTGCCAAGTATAAGAGTGAGTGGCTTGTGTAAGGCCACTTAGTGAACTAATCTGAAGAGGTAAAGAGTCAAATCAGATCTTCCTCAATTTGTAGCCCATTTTCTTAGCCCCTGTCCTATACCAGTTCTCTCCTATGAGCATCTTCCAAGCATGCTAAGAACTCCAACATCAAAGTTTAAAATGCTCCAAACACAACAGTCACAAAGACATGCAATCAGTGGTTTGGACACTTACCATTCACACATAAATACCTGAAGGCACTAAATATGCAAGTTTAAAAAATGTTTACATTGGGTCTACAACTGCTTAATAAGCTTAAGTTTAATCAGTTGTCCGTCCCTACGTAAATCTATCCCATCATCATGGCACTGAGAGAATATTGCAGCAAAACAGCTCTCCAAAAGCCCAGTGACACCCTGGAAGAGATATTAGAAAAAGGCTCCTTCACCAGCAGGCCCATCACTAACTCTGGCCTAGTTGCCCAAGGACAGCAACTCCCCTGTCCCAGACAGACACACGCATAAAAAATATTTGTATGCAGCTCATGGTGGACTGAGTTCACTACTACGCACGTCAACTTCCGAATCCTAAACATATTACTAAAAATTAAGGGACATTTGTTTAACAGGGCTTACCTCCAAGTAATGTATTTCAGTTAAAGACACCAGGAGGGCAGAGTGAATAGCTAAGCAGAAAACACATTGCAGTGGAAACTTCTGCCTCACTGCTCAGCAGCCACATAACGAGAAACTAAAACATAGCAACAATGCCTGGAGGAGGATCCCTCAGAAGCATCCTTCAGAAGTGAATTTCATAGGTGGGGGGAGGCACAGAAAACATCTGATTCTCAAGGGGGGGGGAAGGAGGACAACTATCACAGCTGATGGGCAGGCACATATAGGTGAAGATGGATCCAGGTGTTGGTCTGAAGCAATGGAACAAATTTAGAGTCCAGTGGCACCTTTAAGACCAACAAAAGTTTTATTCAAGGTATGAATAAAACTTTGTTGGTCTTATAGGTTAAGATGGTTCTTCAGATTCCCTGTACTCAAACTGTGTATGGTTTCAAAGGTTAAAACTATGTGCCTGGAAACAATTTGGAAACTAATGATGAGCACCAATAAAGTATGATCTTTGCATCAAGTTCCTGTTAATAACTTTGCCATCATACTCTGAACAAATCCTGAAGACTTTCCAGAAGCAGCTCTGTATCTAAAGCATTACATCAGGCTAGCCTGCACACCACTAAAGCATGGATAGTTGTGGCAGTGTTCCCTCTAAGCTGAGTTAGTGTGAACTAGCTCGCAGTTTTTTAGCCTCCGGCTCACACATTTTTGTCTTAGCTCAGGAAGGATGGCTCCAGAGCAAACTAATTTATGCAGTAGCCAAATCGCTCGCTCACAACTTTAATGCCAGAAGCTCACAAAGTAGAATTTTTGCTCACAAGACTCCACAGCCTAGAGGGAACACTGGTTGTGACACGATCATCCTTTTCTAAAGAGGGCCACACTGCTGCATCGTCTAGAGGAGACAGAAGACGCTCTGAGTTAGACACCACTGATGCATCCATAAGCAATCCATTCCTTAGAGAATGCTCATGGCATAGTGGGCACATCTAGTGGTATGCCCAACATGCATTAATCTATACACTGTGCAGATGGAACAGACACTCTGGATTCATGAAAATCAAGAAACTCCTGGTCAAGACTGGTTCAACACAGATTATTCAAAACTACTCTCGTGTGACACAGTTTTCCTTGATGAAGGCCAGATATTCAACCTGAGCTTCTCTCTTGCATTCTCTCAGTTTTACATGCAGTGCTGAAAGTATGACTGTCTTGTCCCACATTACACTAATTTCATCCTTGCTGTGCATATTTAGCTTGAAATTATTCATCCTCAAATGATTTCTATTATTTCTCCTTATGCCTCAGTAATTTCAGGCTCTTAGTAAATAACTATTGCTTTGCATTTATTACACTGACCTCCAAACCATCCCACTAAGACAAGCAAGTCATTAGGTTTCTTCTACAGACAGAGGGGCACCTGTGTGTATGGAAACAAAGCATAAGATCCACTAAGAGCCAGGGCAGAGGCACGAAGTCAAACTATAGTCCGGCGAGTGCTTTGCCATCCCAGCATGGGAGAAACAAGTTAAGCACCCCTTCCTGGAACAAATCAGCAACTCCGTACAGCTGCTTTGAAGTTTTATATTATATACACACACACTCTAAGTACTTAGCAAACAAAAGTGTGCAAAGTTACAGGGCTGTAGTGGCATTATAGCTGAGTGTGTTGTAAAGCAGCCATCTGATAATTTAAGACTCATGCCCAGGTTTTTGGCCAGCACGCGATGTGTCCTGAGTATTTCCTTCCTACCACTCAGTTGAACTGAGTGTAGATGCATATTAAAATGACAGCTCAGGGTATGATTCGAGTCCAGCAGCACCTCAAAGACCAACAAGATTTCAGGAGCATAAGCTTTCGAGAGCCAGCACTCCCGTGTATCTGACAAAAAGAGCTCTGACTCTCGAAAGCTCACACCCTGGAAATCATACTGGGCTTGAATCTTGCTCTTCTCTACGCACTTAGCTACCCTCCTGAAACTAGTTTAGAGCATGTTCTTTAGACACACTGTGTTCCTATGCTCCCTCTAAGCTATGGAGTCCTGTGAGCAAAAATTCTACTTTGTGAGCGACTGCCATTAAAGTTGTGAGCAGGTGATTTGGCTGCTGCATAAATCAGTTTGCTCTGGAGCCCTCTTTCCTGAGCTAAGACAAAAATGTGTGAGCCGGAGGCTAAAAAACTGTGAGCTAGCTCACACTAACTCAGCTTAGAGGGAACACTGCTGTGATCCCTTCTTCAAACCTGAACCTGTCAGACAAACCAGCATGAAATCAAGCGAATACTGCAGCTCTTCACTTGCCCTCCCTAGTGGCTCCATCATTCATTACTGCTGCATCTCCCCCCTCCCATCTGGGGAAAAGCTTTCCTCAAGCGGAGACAGAGGCAGTAGTGTGCACGGACTGAAAACAATGATGAGAAGAGACGGAGCGCGCACTCGGATTCTGTAGCTGAGGATTCTGGCACAAGGCAAGGCAACCCCCAGCAGCAATATGCAAACACACAACTAACATTTCTGTATGTGTTGATTGAGACAGAGAAAATGGGGACCTGAGACTGAGCAAAGCCAACCATGAACACACTAAAAGTCTGCTTATCTTAAGGCCAAACGAAGTCGCCTCTCCATGATCTTGCTCTCAACTTGGAGAAGTGATCATTATATTCGTTGTGATGTGCAATATCTTCTGGGAACTAACACTGCAAAGTGAACTTTGTTTCCTTTTGACAAGTGCAGAACTACCTGCTCCCATCTCTCACAGGGCTTAAGGAAACTTCTTTGAAAATCCCAGCCCAAGGAGTCAAATAAAACGCCATCATTTCCAAAGGGCTGGCATGGAATGTTTGTACAGGAACAGAAGGCAGCACTTGTGTGCAACCAGGAACAGGATATCCTCGGGCAGGTTTCTCTGGGATTCTAATATGCAAACACATAACTAACATTTCTGTATGTGTTGATTAAGACACAGAAAATGGGGACCTGGGACTGAGCAAAGCCAATCATGAACACACTAAAAGTCTGCTTATCTTAAGGCCAAACGAAGTCGCCTCTCCATGATCTTGCTCTCAACTTGGAGAAGTGATCATTATATTCGTTGTGATGTGCAATATCTTCTGGGAACTAACACTGCAAAGTGAACTTTGTTTCCTTTTGACAAGTGCAGAACTACCTGCTCCCATCTCTCACAGGGCTTAAGGAAACTTCTTTGAAAATCCCAGCCCAAGGAGTCAAATAAAACGCCATCATTTCCAAAGGGCTGGCATGGAATGTTTGTACAGGAACAGAAGGCAGCACTTGTGTGCAACCAGGAACAGGATATCCTCGGGCAGGTTTCTCTGGGATTCCCCCACCCTTTTTGTGGTCCAGCCTTCACTGCCAATACCTGTAAACTTTTAGAAAGAAGCCACATAATCACACCTTATCTTTTTACCCTCTCATAACTATAAAACTTATGGGTTATAAAAGACTGCCCCCCATCCCCAAATTACCTACTCCCTGAGAGCGAACAATAATTAAACTCAAAACCAGCACAGCACCATTCTTTGTGCTAAAGGCCTGTAAACTGACATTTGACCAATATTTCAACACCCTTTTCTCTCACTGTGCTGCATAAGGCAGAAGACTGTTCCTCAGCAAAGGAGGGGGGAGGCAGACAGCAGACTCTCAATATTTGCGCCCAGACTGATATTTGTTTGGTGCAGCGGCAGCTGACCTGGCACAGAGGATTGTGTGGCGCAAGTACAATGGGATGTGCATGTGCATGGTGCTTGGGCTGAGAGGGCAGCGTGCAGTTGGGCAACAGAAACCTGCATTAGTGTTGGCCACTCTGGGGGTTGACCTTGGGCCTGAATTAGTAACAGCTGACACTCTTATCACCATTATCCCCTCCTCGTCTACTATAAAGTCCTCTTTTCCCCTTATTCTCATTTTTCAAGGGTAGAGGGGTTTTTTTTGGGGGGGGGTTAGAGTTGGATGCATTAATGTATCAAGAAAACATAATCATTTAAATAGTTTCAGGTGGTCTGCAGTAGTAGAACAAAATTCTGTAGTAGTAGAACAAAATTCAAGTCCAGTCATACCTTAAAAACCAATGAAAGTTTTCAAGGTGTAAGGTCACTTTGTCAGATACAAACGAGGGGCTATTTAATTACTTTAAAAAGAAACCACCTTTCAAGGTAGATTATTCAAAGGGTTTGGCTGAAGCCAGTTCAGAAGATCTCTGTGCGTGTTTGTAGGAGCTGCCTAGCAAGGTTGCAAGCCTTCTCGACTGAATCGCCTGGGTTGCTTTGCCAGGAGCCCCCAGTTATATAGAGTCCCACCACCCGCACTTGAGGGCTATAAAGAGATCATCCTCTCTCCCTCTTTCTCCAAACAAGAGGCACAGAACAAACTTCCAGAAAAACAGCTGAACAAAAGGGTATGTGCAAATGGCTTAACATGGATTAGTAACAGAACTCTTTGTCTTGAAAAACCAACAGGAAAAGTCAGTATTGTGTGTTGAAAGATGATTCAGTCTAACAACTTCAGAAAAGCTTAGCCCTGGCAATCATTTTGATCAGATTAAAGCTTTGCCAGCTAAGCGCTGGAAAGAATATAAGCCTAGAGCCACATTTCACCCTGTTGCCAACAAGACTCTGGCCATTTGTGCATGATACCAGCAGAAGCAAAGCTGGTTCAACTGCCAGGAGGGAAGCACCAGAATATCTTGTTTACAGGCTCACAAGAGCTGTTTCGGCTGAAGAAATGGATCCAAGCACAGGACTCAAAAAAGAAAGTCAACATGAGCATGCTATGCATCATGCATCCCCATTTCAAGCAGCTCCAGCTGTAGCTAAGAGACCTTACCACTTACACTTAAATGCCCCCACAGGCACACCTTTTACACCTGAAATTCAAATCTGATTTACATTTTTTTTAGGTGACAAGAAGATATTCTAAAAAAAGACATGTTAGCACTACAACCAAGTCACTGTCCCTCCACAACAATCCCAGGGCAGTGACGTGTATCCCGCCATGCCTTTCTACCCTTTGGGACAGTGATGTCTACAACTAGCATGCAACTGCTGGAAACGTGGTTAGAAGGCCACACGTTGCCGTGCAGAGGGTGAAAGAGTGAGCGTGGTTAAGAGAGGAGTGCTGAAAGGGGCAAGCAGAGGAGAAGAATGTCGAGAGAAAGCTTCTGCTACACAGTAAATACCTTGGGATGGACTTTCTTTGAGCTCTCAGCCTTTTTTTCCTGTTAAAAATCCACAAAGAGGATATAAGATTTGAGAAGCGAAAAAGTTGCATTGGGTGCCTATTCAACTTTATGCGAAACTGGCATGGGATTGGACTATGCTGCTACAAGGGCCCAACAGGGAGTGTATTCTATGGTTGCAAAAGCTCTTTTTCTAGGAAGCCAGGGAACAGCGAAGCAGGGTACGGGCCAGAAACAGTCTCTAATGAATGCCTTGCTCTTCTTCTTGGCTGGTTCAATTTCAGCATTTTCTTTCTGCCTACAAAGCCAGAGCCAGCTGAGTGAGTGGAAGCACTGGTTGGGCCACTAGTCTGGAGACTGTAAGAGCACAGGAATATTCCCTAATTAACCAATTATGCTCTCAATGGAGATGACTGGGCAAGACCAAAATGCATAATCAACGGGGAACTAAAGGCTAAGGAAAGGAACGTATGTAGTAATGCTAATAAGTAATCAATAACTCTTACTAGCACAGATATTAGTTGTGTATTTTGCACTTTGTAGCATTTTGTCATGTAATTTCCCACTAACTGCTTAATCAAAGCTTTATCTTAAGCCAGAAATGCAAACCCACTGGCTACTTCCACTAGGGTCTCTAGTGGTATATATCCCTCTTTGCTATCAGTCTTTATCTTGACTGAATCTGGAAACCATTGAGACAATAACAACTGACTCCTGTTCACCCCTGACCACTGGGCATCACAGCCCTGGGTTTTCCCCTGGAGGCATCACTAGGCCCGGACAGTCATCCTGCAGTGAGGGTCAGGAAAGCTTCTCCCAAACTCCTGCTGGCAAGGAGGCTACAAGTATTGCCATGCCTCGCTTTCTTTATTTGTGCACTTTGCAACCAGAAGATTCAATGCCGTAACAAACTCTACAAAAAGCAGAGGCTTACCACTGGAGTAGGGCACGCTGCTGGATGAACATGCATGCCCTTTAACACCCTACAAACCACACCAAGGCTTTTAGTGGTGGCATAGGCTTCTTAAGTAGTACAAACAGGGGAGATATTCCTTCTACCCACCCTAACAAATGCAAGGCTTCTTGAAACGTTCAAGTCAGTTATGCCAAAGAGACCGAAAAGAGGAACAAGCCATCCTCACCCAATTATTGTTTCCCAAGAAAAAAATTCTGTATCATAAGATGTAAAAAACCTGTATTGGATCAAGAATTGCCACTCAAAAATCCTGCCAACGTCTTCAATTCTACACAGTACAAACACGCCTAACGGGGGCAGCAAGAGCATTGGGTGGTGGGGACTGGGAGGTTTGTAGGTGGAAAAGAGATGGGACCAACAGGACTTCAAAAAGGCAACTGATTGATTTACTATGATATATTTACCCCACTCCCTTTGACTTGCTGGACTGATGACAAATTAAATGTAACTGACAGCTTCACCCGAGGAAGCAAGTATCAGAGAAAGGACTGCATCTGTGGAAGCCTTTAGATGTTTTCCTGCAGCTCCATCCAATAGCATACTAGCATTTGGGGAGGGGGGGGGCATCACACAGGTGATTTATATTTATAAACACAAAGTTGCTGATCAACTCTTCCCCCAACAATTGCTGACAGTGGAGACTAAAGTACCCAACCATGTGGAAGACCCTCTAGAAGAGGGCCACTCGGTTGTGACAGGATTGCGAGCGTGCCCTCGTACTGAACAGAGTCTCTAACACAGAAGCCTGGCTCTGGAGACCTCTGTGCTCATGGAAACGTGCCAAGACATACACAGTCCCCCTCAGTTATTCCCCCGGAGCTGTGTCAGGAGAGACTAGCTAGCACTGGGCATTAACAGAGCAGCATTGAGACTAGAAGGGTAGAAGACAGAAAAATTTATTAGTTTGTAGGAGGCAATGCTGACACAGGTTATGACACATTTATACGATAAAATGAATGGGCATAAGCAACAGGAAGCCCTCTAGAAATCCTGAATGGTAATGGAGGGCACTGCTACCAAGAATGACTCACACCTAAAGCTTTCCAGCTCCATCGGTAAATGAAGCAACTTTATCAGAGCTACAATCATTAGAGTCCCTGTTCTGCAATGGTAGCAGAAGATCCGCACAAACATAATGGAGGGGGGAGTAGCATTGCTGTGTTGGAAATGTCCTTTTCACACATAAAATCCCTTTTATTCTTTTGTGAAAGGGAGAGAATGCCCCTTGGAAGGAAAAAGTAAATAAATACACAAGTAAATAGCTTGCATTCTGCAAGCACTGACACATCCCCAGCCTCTACTTAAAATAAGCCCAGCTGATTGGTAGAGAGAATCCGATACCCTTCCATGTTATCATACAGCTGGCTTAGCTTGCTGTCTGCCTGACTGCTGCCTGCTTTCATGATATAAGACTTCAGCTCCTGAAAGCCAAGCAAGGTATGTGAAAAGTGACCTTTCTAGTAAGTATATCTTGACTACACATCACTACAAAAACTTGCCCCTGTGGTCCACGCCCTGCTAACCTCTTGATTAGATTACCACAATGTGCTCTATGTGGGGCTGCCCTTGAAGACTGTCTGGAAGCTACAGTGGGTACAGAATGCTGCCACCAGAATGTTGACTGGAGTGGGTCATAAGAACCATATCACTCCAGTCTTGTTCCATGTATAACTGGCTCCCAATTTGCTTCTGGGATCAGTTCAAGTTGCTGGTATTGACCTTTAAAGCCCTACATAGCTTGGGGCCAACATACCTGAAGGAGCAACTTCTCCCATATGATCCTACCCAGATACTCCAGTAATCTTTGGAGGCCCTGATTCGGAGTCTCTGTTATCTGAGGCTAGACGGGTGGCAACTCAAGAAAGGGCCTTCTCAGTCACGGTGCCGAAACTCTGAAACTCTGTCTGTCTGCCTGTATTGTTAACTTCCACCAGGATGTAAAGCCTTTTTGTTTTATTTGCCGTACTGCCCTATTCACTGGTCGTGTTAGGTGTGTTTGTACGTCTATATTTTTTTATTGAGTTGTCTACATATTGTATAGTAAAGGTTCCCTTGCTCGAAAGGCAGTCGAATCCAACTCTAGGGTTGCGGTGCTCATCTCCGTTTCAAAGTCGAAGAGCCAGCGCTGTCCGAAGACGTTTCCGTGGTCATGTGGCCGGCATGACTAAACGCCAAGGCGCACAGAACGCTGTTACCTTCCCACCGAAGTGGTACCTATTTATCTACTTGCAATTTCTTGCTTTCGAACTGCTAGGTTGGCAGGAGCTGGAACTAGAGATGGGAGCTCACTCCATCATGCAGCACCCGGGTCTCGAACTGCTGAACTACTGACCTTCCACAGCCTGTAGTTCAGTGTCTTAACCCCTTGAGCCACCGCAGCTCCATATATTGTATACATACACCTTATTTTAAATGCTGCTTGAATGTTTAAAACATTTTAGTGTTTTGATGTTTGCTGACTTGGGGACCCTATTTGGGTGGAAAGGTGGCACAGAAATGTTTTACGTAAATAAAGTGTGCCAACTTTTAGCTTTCCAGCAGTTCTGGATACTGAACTCCAGCAGTTCTGCGTACTGAACTCAGTTCTGATACTGAAACACTCTTTTGATAAGAAAGAAGGTATTCACCCTAGAAAGAAAGAAAAAAATAAGCAAAAGCAAAATTAACTAGACAGCTCCTGTCATTAGTAACGTTACAGGCACTAACCAACAGGTGTGTCAGAGAGTTATATAACCACATTACACACAGCAATTTCAGCTGCAATACAAGAGCTATCTGAGAAAGCACTGCATTTCAAAAACACCAGATTGCTACTTGACATTCAAGTTCTCTGCAACGAAGAAATGGTATCTGATATGTTGAAGAAATTATTATCTGAATTTCCCACAGTAAGAAGAGTTACAAGTATGCGGCCTCTCTCAGAAGCAGCGTATTTAAATCCTACAAAGTCACCTACCTGTACACTTTGACAGAGTCTCTTCAGAGGTGGTGATTTGCTGCTGGGCCCATCTGATAACAGCTCATCCCTCCCTAAATGCTTGACCACAATGCACCTTCTCAGAGGAGTATCCCTACAAGAGGAGGAAAAGTGAATTCATTGGCCTGAACTGTAGGTATAAAAATCATGAACCAAGATGCAGGAAATAAAGAGGGTATTCTGGTTCAAGCAAACTTCAGTCTGCAAGAGTAACTACAGTGTTAAGCAGGCAAGACTAAATGTACTGCGAAGAACACGTGGTTCCATTATTAAACTGCCAAATGCTCTTCTAGCTTTACCCAGCAGACACCGCAGGGTAGAACACACACCAGAAGAAGAGCAATTGCACAGCAGCAAAAAAGTCACAGCCTCACTGCATACACTGGAGGTCCTAACCTGAATGAATGCCCCAAACCTGCAGAGATCAGCATCCACTTTCCTAGTTCCTAAGATCTTATGAAACAATTTTTCTAGACCCACCCTAAAGGAGGACACAGTATTCAAGAACAACCCTTGTAGCCCCTCTGCAAGTTGACTACATATACAAGCAGTTTGATATTCGTATCCAGTCCTTTTTCAAGTGGGGGCGGAAAGGGGTCCCAAATCAGGAAGAGAAAGGTAAGTTCTGTCAGCTTGAATTCAGACTCTACAAAAATCATAGTCTGATGGCAGAAAGACAAAAGGCATGCATATACATGAGGCCATTATTTCCATGTTTGTTGTTCAGTCGCACAGTCGAGTCCGACTCTTCGCGACCCCATGGACCAGATCACGCTAGGCCCTCTTGTCTTCCGCCGTCCTCTGAAGTTTGCTCAACTTCATGTTCGTTGCATCGATGACACTGTCTAACCATCTCATCCTTTGCCGTCCCCGTCTTCTTTGACCTCCAATCTTTCCCAGCATCAGGGTCTTCTCCAGTGAGTGCTCCCTTCTCATTTGGTGGCCAAAGTATTTGAGCTTCAGTTTCATTATCTGGCCTTCCAGGGAACAGTCAGGGTTGATTACTTTTAGGATTGACTGATCTGATCTTGCAGTCCAAGGGACTCTCAAGAGTCTTCTCCAGCACCATAGTTCAAAAGAATCTATTCTTCGGCGCTCGGCCTTCCTTATGGTCCAACTCTCGCAGCCATACATGACTACTGGGAATACCATTGCTTTGACCATGCACTTTTGTTGGCAGGGTGATGATTTCCATACCAAGTATTAACAGTGTAAGATAAAAGGTGAAGCTGCGGAAAACTGACAGGTATTGGCCTCTGTCTCCCCTTCTACCCAAATCACTGGGAAATCATTCTCTAGACTGGAGAAATGACTGTTTACAGGACAAAACATTTAATCAACAGCATAACAAACAAAAGTCTGGGTAGCCAAGTTGTTTTGTTTTTTACCAGTTGTATTACAGTATATTCATGCAAGGCATCAGTAGGTCATCTCAACATCACATCAAACCATGGTTTAAACCAATAATTGTTTAGAATCTACATCATGGGGTTCACTCTTCCAAACAGTCAAGAATCCTGAGGTTCAGAATGAGTCTGTCCCTTTTTCCATCTGTTCACCATGCCTATCTCTAGGTACAGTGGCCTCCAGATGGCAGCTGTAACTCCGGTTTGTCAAGTAAGCCATGACAGCAAACCATACTCCATTAAAACCATGACTCACAATCTCCCCCCCCCCCCAATTCCATGGTTCTGATTCTGGTTTGCTAGCCAATCAGCAACTACGGTTTGTAAATTCATACATTACACTAAGTTAACCATGGTTTGAGGTAGTCTTGCCAAGTGCCTGCTTCAGGTGGACAATCTCCCAAAGAAGCCCCCCTCCCACTTGTCCTTGCCTCCTGGTCCAGCAGGACAAACAGTGGGGGGTGGCAATGACATCAGTCTACATGTTGACATCACATCCAGGCAAAAACCTGGAAGTGATGTTGGTAAGCAGCCCAGTGTGGCATCATGCCTCGCCCTCAACACTCACCCATTTGCCTCGCCCTAAAAGCTCCCAGAGATGCTGGGCTGCCACCTAACACTCCTACTTTGGGGTGACGTCTGAACTGAGCCACTCTAAGTCAAATTTTACCTCTCTACAGTAGTAGAAAAGAGTAAGAATCCAGTAGCACATTAAAGACTTACAACATTTGTGGTAGGGTATGAGCTTTCGTGAGTCACTGCTCACTTCTTCAGAGATGTATCTGAAGAAGTAAGCAGCAACTGATGAAAGCTCGTACCCTACCACAAATTTTGTTAGTCTTTAAGGTGCTACTGTACTCTTACACTTTTCTACTGCCACAGACAAACACGGCTACTCATCTTGATCTACCTCTCTACAGTTTTCACTGATACGGAGATATGTTTAATTTTCTGTTCTAATAACAGTTAACAATATTTTGTGCTAGAATGCTGCCACCTCCTCCTGTTTTACAGGCCGCTAACTAAATACATGAAAATGGCCAGCAGACTGTCAAGCAGTTAAAGGTGCTTCAGAAAGAGCCTCTCACAAGCAGAACAGGCTAACATGATTGCTCCAGTTTTTCTGTATATCCACACCACTGAGCTATACAGCATTTCAAAAATCATAACTGCGGGCATTTACATCCACACAAAAGCAAA